TCTGCACCCCATATGCAGCTCTGCCAATGCCCCTCTGTCCTGGCCTGCAGCCCCCTGCTATTCCATTCCTGGTGTCTGCACCCTACACGCAGCTCTGCCAATGGCCCTCAGTCCTGACCTGCAACCCCAACTACTGTTCCCATTATGGGTTCCTCCCTCTCAATCCTGACACGCAGCCTCCCTGCTCTCCCAGCCCTAGACCTTCTTACAAACGTACTTTAAAACAAAAAAAATGTTCTGCCAGATGACTTTGAACTCCAGAGTAGACAGGGCTGTTTTCTGTCTTTAACTCTATTGCTGGAAGTATTTCCAGGTCTTCTCTGATCCAGCAACCTCATCTTGCCCATAGCTATCGACCCACATTCAGTGCCCTGCTCTACCACAGACTCCCTGTGGGACCTTGGGCAAGTTGCTTAGGCCCAGACCCTCAAAAGTATTTAGGTGCCTAACTCCCATTGTCATAATCTGTCATCCATCACCGCACAGGAGTTTGATGCTGCTCCTATCTTAAACCTATGGAACTCCATGCTACTGGATTTTACTGAAGCAACCAGTAAATCTCTTCATTTACGTTTGGCTCCCGCTGACGTAAGTTCCTCTCTGCGGCACTTTAGTAACACCACCTCCCTGAGCGGTGGAGAGCCAAGGTCGATGTAATTAGATGGATGCAGTGTCAGTGCAGACCCTGCATTGCTTTCATTGACTGTGACTGGCTTTCAGGAGCCGTCCCACAATGCTCTGCACTGACAGTACGATCGATACACGCGTCCTGGTGAGAACGCATACTGCCGACACAAGTGATTTAATACCTGTGGTGACTGTATGCAGATGTAAGTTAGGTAGACATAATTGTGTAGTGTAGACATGGCCATAGGCTAAACACCCAGCCCAGATCAGAGCAGGCTGTCTCTCACCCTTCCACCGCAACCACTGTCAGCTGAGAGTGGCAGGCACTAATGACCCATGTTCTGTCCCATAGGTCCGGGATCCACAAGAGCCTCTCCTGAAGGAGGAAGTGACTGTGGTTAGAGAGGCTTCCTGTGGGAAGAGCTTTGTGTCTCGGCAGAGAAGGTTGGAGCACGAGGATGATGGATCGGTATAAGATCCCACGCACCAAAGAGCTGGAGTTTGGAGGGCCCCTGGGTAAGACGAGGGTGAGGGGGTTTGGAAGGCAGTGGCTCCCATACCCTGAAAGGCAGTGCAAACTGGAGCTGTGCATGCAGCTACATGGTTAGAGCAGGGTGGGTCTGGGAGTCAGCACTTTTGGGTTCCCAGCTCTGCCATTGACTCACTGTGGGATCTTCTCTCTCAGGGATGCTGCTGCCTGTCACTCACCCACAGTTTTGATCACCCTGGGGATCTTGTCCCTCTAACCTCTCCTTCCTCCCTCTACAGGAGCCATGATCCTCCTCTTTCTCATGCCAACTACTGTCTTCTATCTTCTGCTGACATGTCGCACTGAGCAAGCCAGCGTGCTGAACTTCCCGCCCCCGCTGCCACCCCTGAGCACCCTCTGGAGCCCCCACACCTTCCTGCTGCTCCTGGCTTGGGTGGGACTCCAGGCTGCCCTCTACATGCTGCCTATGGGAAAGGTAATGCGGGGTCAGCCTCATTGGGCAGAGGGGAGGGCAGGACGTCCCCTTCCCTGCTGGGTGCCATCTGCCTAATGGTAGCTGTTTGGCTACCCATGGGGGATCAAGGGCACATGTGAATTGCCTGGGTCACGGCTGAGCCAGATCATGGCCAGCTGGCTACACCATGTAGGCAGAGACCTGTCCAAACTCAGTTCATCTACACAGTTGTGAACCGAGGCTCCAGGGAGGGTGCCGATGAGAGGAGTTGGAGTCAAGACCAGAGAGATCAGTGTTAACTGGTTGTGTGGCTTTCCCCCAGGTCACAGAAGGGATCGTCCTTCGAGACAAGAGCCGGCTCCAGTATCGCATTAATGGTGGGTGTTGGATTTTGTTAGGGAGGGGAGATCGACTATGACCCGCCCCAGAATTTGCAGCCAATCACATCACTTACTGAATTTCCTCATGGTAACAAGTAATAGTATGTGGGGGAGTGCTGTCTATTGGGACTGAGCAAGTGCCCAGGAGTCAGGACTCCTGGGTTCTATCCCCAGCTCTGCCACAGATTCCCTGTGTTACCTTGGGCAAGTCCCTTCCCCTCTCCATGCCTCTGTTTCCCAGAATAACAGTGCGCTGTGACTCAGGGATCCTCGGCTAAAAAGCCGCAAAGTGTTGCTGTATCTAAGCAGCATGTGTCCTGTCTTCTCTCCTCCCGCACTGCAGCTTTCCATGCGATGGGGGTCACAGCCCTGGTGGTGGGGGCTGGATTGGCAGCCGGGTTGCGCCTCAGCTACATCTATGACCACTTCCTGCAATTGGCTTTCTCGGCCTTGCTGCTGGCCTTCGGCCTCAGCTTCCTCCTCTACTTCAAGTCCCTCTTTGCCCCAGAGACAACACTGGCTCCAGGCGGGAACTCAGGTGAGTCCTTCTATACACATGGGGCACACGGACACAGGAATGATCTTGTGCACGCAGACACACAGACGTGTGCACATATGTATATTTGAACACACACAGACACTTGCACACTGACACTTGTGCACCACACACACAGGGACACTTGTGCATGCACTAACACATAGACACTCTCTTAGACACACAGGTCATACCTGGTGTGTCACAGGAGTGCAGGGGGAGAGCAGCCAGTGATGCCAGTCAGGGTAAAAACTGCCAGGACTCTAGGGAGGTATCTGATCAGTTGATGAGGGTCAGAAAGGAACCACCCTTGTTGCAGAGAGTTTAACCTTCCAATGAAGCATCCAGCAATAGCACCCATTGGAAACCAGACATATCCAGATTTAGCACAGCAGGGGTGGGGATACCAGGCCAGTGGGATGGGCCCCTTGGACTGATCCAGGGTAACAGAGAGAGGAGCATACCAGACTAGATGGACCCATTGGTCTGATCTGAGGCAGCAGGGGGGATGCTGGGCTGGACAGGCCTATTGGTCTGGTCCAAGGTGGCAGGGAGAGGAAGGGGGAGTAGCTATTCCCCCTTGAGGTGCCTGACTTGCTATTGGTCACACAGGGAATCCTATCTATGACTTCTTCATGGGCCATGAGCTGAACCCACGCATCGGCTCCTTCGACCTGAAGTATTTCTGTGAGCTGCGGCCAGGCCTCCTCGGCTGGGTAAGTGGGTGGGGTTTTAGGGTGCTCCCTGCTGCAGAAAGTCCCTTGGGCCCATGGCTATAATGACCTTGCGAAGGCAAAGGATAAGAGAACCTGCTGCAGGGGAACACTAGTCCCGGGGGAAAGTTGCAAGGGGGAATTTCCCTCCCTCCAGATGGCTATGTGTAGCAGATACTAGCCATAGCCAGAAATCCCAGCCTAGATGGACCCATTAGTCAGACCAAGCATGGTGGGAGGGGTGAAGAATACCAGACTAGATAGGCCCATTGGTCTGATCTGGGGCAGCAGAGAGTGTGGGATGCCAGGCATAGGTGGCCCCATTAGTCTGATGCAGGGGTAGAGGTAAACCAGGCAGGATGGTCTTACGCAGGGGCTAGATATGCCTTTGGTCAAATCCGGGGCAGCGGGGAGCAGGGCCGGTTCCGGGGAGCAGCCAAGCAAGCTCGTGCTTGGGGTGGCAGATTCTAAGGGGCAGCATCATTCCGTCCAATCTTAGGGCGGCACGGCTGCCCTTTTTTGCTTTGCGTCTGGGTCCGGCCGCCCTGCTTGGGGCGGCAAAAAAGTCAGAGCCGGCCTTGGTGGGGAGGGGAAGATACCAGGCTGGTCTGCCCCAGTATGTCAGTGAGAGATTGGGGAGGTCTCACTCAAGGGTGCCAATTAGGTAGGGTGGAGGAGGGGCTGCCACGCCCCCCTCCCACTCCACCCCCACCCCGAGTTTCATACAGGAGGTGTGCTCCCAGGTGGAGCTCTTAACTGCACAGCATTAGTGTGGAATGTGAGTTCTGCAAAGAGCTGCTCCTCCCAGCTTGTGTCCCCAAGGCAAGGAGTCAGTGTTTTCTTTCCAAAAAGAGGCTTGGGTGATTAAGATTAAGGCTCTGGAAGTCCTTAGATGAGCCTGTAAAACAGGTTTCAGAGGGGTAGCCCTGTTAGTCTGTATCAGTAAAAACAAGGAAGAGTCTTTGTGGCACCTTAGACAATTTATTTGGGCATAAGCTTTCATGGGCTATAACCCACTTCATCAGATGCATGGAGTGGAAAATACAGTAAGCAGGCATAAATATACAGCCCATGAAAAGATGGGAGTTGCCTTACCAAGTGGGGGGTCAGTGCTAATGAAGCCAATTCAATTAGGGTGGATGTGGCCCATTCCCAACAATTGACAAGAAGGTGTGAGTATCAAGTCTTTATTCGGGCCTAATTTGATGGTGTCCAGTTTGCAAATTAATTCCAGTTCTGCAGTTTCTCGCTGAAGTCTAGTTTTGAATGTTTGTTGCTGAAGAATGGCCACTTTTAAGCCTGTTAAGTGTCCGGGGAGATTGAAGTGCTCTCCTATTGGTTTTTGAATGTTACAATTCTTGATGTCTGATTTGTGTCCATTTATTCTTTTGCATAGACTGTCCGGTTTGGCCAATGTACATGGTAGAGGGGCATTGCTGGCACATGATGGCGCATATCACATTGGTAGATGTGCAGGTGAACGAGCCCTTGCTGGTGTGGCTGATGTGGTTGGGTCCTATGATGGTGTCCCTTGAATAGATATGCGGACAGAGTTGGCAACGGGATTTGTTGCAGGGGTTGGTTGTGTGGTGTGTAGTTGCTGGTTAGTATTTGCTTCAGGTTGGGAGGGCTGTCTGTAAGCAAGGACTGGTCTGTCTCTCAAGGTTGGTGAGAGTGAGGGACTGTCCTTCAAGATAGGTTGTAGATCCTTGATGAGGCGCTGGAGAGGTTTTAGTTGGGGGCTGAAGGTGATGGCTAGTGGCGTTCTGTTACTTTCTTTGTTGGGCCTGTCCTGTAGTAAGTCACTTCTGGGTACTCTTCTGGCTCTATCAATCTGTTTCTTCACTTCCCCAGGTGGGTATTGTAGTTTTAAGAACGCCTGATAGAGATCCTGTAGGTGTGTCTCTGTCTGAGGGGTTGGAGCAAATGCGGTTGTATCTTAGGGCTTGGTTGTAGACAATAGATCATGTGATGTGGTCTGGATGAAAGCTGGAGGCATATAGGTAAGTATAGTGGTCAGCAGGTTTCCAGTATAGGGTGGTGTTTATGTGACCATCGCTTATTTGTGCTGTAGTGTCCAGGAAGTGGATCTCTTTTGTGTGAATTGGTCCAGGCTGAGGTTGATGGTGGGGTGGCAATTGTTGAAATTCAGATAGATTTCCTCAAGGGCCTCTTTCCCATGGGTCCAGATGATGATGTCATCAATGTAGTACAAGTAAAGTAGGGGTGCTAGGGAACAAGAGATGAGGAAGCGTTGTTCTAAGTCAGCCATAAAAATGTGGGGCCATGCGGGTACCCATAGCAGTGCCGCTGACTTGAAGGTATAAATCGTCCCCAAATCTGAAATAGTTGTGGGCGAGGACAAAGAAAGTGACAAAGTTCAGCCACCAGGTTTGCCGTGACATTATCGGGGATACTGTTCCTGACGGCTTGTAGGCCATCTTTGTATGGAATGTTGGTGTAGAGAGCTTCTACATCTATAGTGGCTAGGGTGGTGTTTTCTGGAAGATCACCAATGGATTGTAGTTTCCTCAGGAAGTCGGTGATGTCTGGAAGATACTATGGTGATGGGGAAGTGCTGGTAGTGTCGGGCCTGAGGAGAGAGTCCACATAGCCAGAAAATCCTGCTGTCAGGGTGCCAATGCCTGAGATGATGGGGCGTCCAGGATTCCCAGGTTTATGGATACGGGTGGTGATGGTGGGCGGGGGTTGAAGAGGGAACGCAGGGGACTCAGAAGAAATACAACCAAGCCCTCTGAGCCAAGGTTACAGTCAGAAAAGAGGAAGATGTGAGGGGCATACGTGAAAAGAAGGGGCCAAAACCCAGGGAAGGGATAGCAGTGGTATAAAGAAGTTCCCACTCTACCTGTGGTACTTATGTGGTCCCATCACCGTAGTATCTGAGTACCTCACATCACAGCCCCTCGGAGAAGTCGAGCAGTACTGTTATCCCCATTGTACAGATGGGGCACTGAGAGACTAACAGCCAGATTTTCAAAGGTATTTAGGCACCTAGTGGGATTTTCAAAAGCACCAAGAAGGTTAGGTGCTTTGTAAACCCCACTAGGTGCCTAGCTGCATCTTTGGGTGCCTAAAAGCCTTTGAAACTCTGTCCCTAAGGCACTGACCTGAGGTCATACAGGAAGTCATTGGGGGGGGGAGGAAGGGTAGAACCCAGGTCTCTCAGATCTAGCTCACTATCCACTGGACCAGCCTTTCTCTCTGCTGCATGCTGCAAAAAAGAGGCCTCTGATGGACAGGAGCAAAACCAGGAAGGCCAGCTCTCTGAGATTCCAGCAATTGGTCCCAGGTAGGGTGACCAGATGTCCCAATTTTACAGGGACAGTCCCGATTTTTGGGTCTTTTTCTTATATAGGCTCCTATTACCCCCACCCCGTCCTGATTTTTCACATTTGCTGTCTGGTCACCCTAGTTCCAGGTGATTGGGAAGGATGTCATGGTTGACAGTATGAAAAGCAGCAGAGGTCAGGAAGGATGAAGAAAGAAAGAGAATGAGAGTCAGATGAGAGGAGAGCACTTAACTGTCAATAGGTGGCAGGTTCTGCCCCAGGCTGAATTGTACAGCAATGCCTGCTATGCAATTTTAGGGCTTGTCTACACTGGCACCTTACAGAGCTGCAACTTTCTCACTTAGGGGTGTGAAAAAACACCCCCCTGAGCGCTGCAAGTTTCAGCGCTGTAAAGTGTTAGTGTAGACAGTGCACCAGCGCTGGGAGGCGCTACACCCCTCGTGGAGGTGGGGTTTTTTATAGTGCTGGGAGACCTCTCTCCCAGCGCTGGTGCCGCGACTACACAGCCATATTAAAGCACTGCCATGGCCAGCTCTTTAACGTTACTAGTGAAGACATGCCCATTTATTTTAACTGAAAACCATTTTTTGTCATTTTTTGTTGTGAGTTTGAAAAAAGGAAAGAATGAGAAAGTGTTGTATGAGTATCAGATGTGATTATACATCAAATTTGTAGGGTTTCAGCCGTATTCAGGCCAATTCCAGAACAAAGAACAGAAATTGCATCCACAGAGTCCATAAAGTTGACGATTATTGTCATGATTTGTGTTATTCGTTGGGCACTATCTGTGTGCTCAGCACTATTCAGAATATGCCAGAAAATGTTGTCCCTGAGTCAATGCATATAAGATGTGTAACTCTGGATAAGATGGCTCAGATATTTAAGTATGCATAGTTATTGACCTCACATGTTCACTGTGTTTTATATCTGAGTGGAGGTGCTGATGGCAATAGAAGTTTTACTTGTTTAAGGACTAGAAGATTTGACCCTCCAACTTTCTTTCAAGAGGAAGAGTTGCCCAGAGCTTCTGTGCCTGTTTGTTTTCCTTTCCTGCCTGCAGTCGCCCTGATATAACTCAGAAGTCTCAATTTTTTCCCCAACTTCAAAACATGGAATTTTCTTGGTGTTTGATTTTAAAATAGTCTCCTGTGAAAACTGCAACTCAATCGCTGTAGTGTTATGTTTAAGACCCTTCTGGAAAGTAACTGGCCTTTAAACAGAAGTGAAAGCAGTGTTGCCAACTCTCATTATTTTGTCATGAGTCTCATGATAATTATTGTTTTCCTTAAAGCCCCAGTTCCTGGAGTCAAGTGATATGTGATGATTTCAGCCTTCCTTCTTAAAGAAAAATGAAGTTTAGTTCTTGTGGCTGTGGCGAAAGCTTCAAAATGTGACCCCAGTGCACCTTAAAGGCTCAAAAAGCAGAATATAAATAAAAAACCCCACCAAATCTATGATTTTTTTTTTTTACACAATATCATTATTTTAAAGCCAATCTCATGATTTTTGGTGAGCCTGATTCTTGATTTTTGAACATTTGGGGTTGGCAATACTATGAAAGTGACTTGAAAGTGTCAGTTTCACTACTGTTTAAAGTAATTTTTTAGTCTATGATTTGTAGTGGGGTAACACCCCTAGAGCCCCAGGCAGGTGCAGTATAAACTCATGGGGCCTTGCCCTAACAGGATGTTTCCAAAAGTTAAATGATCTATTCCAAGCGTGATGAACTGCAAAAAAGTGATAGAAAGTAATCTAGATTTTTCTACAATTGTTTCAATTGTTCTATTCAAGAGTTAGTAACAAATTAAGAATATACATTAAAATTTTAAACCTAACCAGTGTCCCTTCAGTGACTTGACACAAGATGTCAGAACATGTTAGTATTAGAGCTGAGTGGGTCTAATATTTATTTAATTTTTTTTCTTTATATAGGAATCAGAAATTATTATCTGACAGGAGCACTAGATATAAAAGATCATCTGCAAGAAAACCAAGAGTTTATAGGTGCTCAAGTAGCCTCTGGAATCATAGTTAAATTTGCCCCCTCCCTTACCAAAATCTGAAATGGCACTCCTGGTCCACTCAGCAATCCGGTGTTTTTCTCTGGGCAGACAGGGTGCTGGGGGCAAGGGAGGGAGGCAGGTCTTCTCTAAACTCCGCCTGATTGCTCCCCTCCTGCCAGGCACTGGTGAACATGGCCATGCTGATGAAAGAGACTGAGCTGCGGGGCAGCCCCTCGCTGGCTATGCTCCTGGTCAATGCCTTCCAGCTGCTGTATGTGGTGGATGCACTTTGGAATGAGGTGAGTCACTCCCACATCCCTGGCTTAGCCTGGGCTTGGGATCTGCAATGGCCTAGGGGCTACAAAGGGAACCTTAGGGGAGGCCTCCTGGGTTCCCTTCCCATGTCTGGGAGGAGGGTGGAGTCCAGTGGTTCAAACAGGGGGGCTGGGATTGAGGACCCAGCTCTGAGAAGGGAGTGGGGATTGGTGATTTTAAGCACAGATGTGGCCAGGGTGGATTGATTTAATTTAAATAATTGATTGTAGTCAAGTTTTGCATTTGTACTTCATAGTTATTTTCCTAACAAAAGGTTGATTTTTCACTGGTGGGTAACTATTAAAACATGTTAGTTTGCAACCAAACATACCCTGACGTTATACTGTACTAAATTCGGTACTTTTTTGCTAACCAGGAGAACACAATATATCTCTACACATTTATTTGAGCAATTATATAGCTTACTTTACATGTATTCTGATTCTTAATTTTTACATTTTATTATGTTAGAAAATGGTGAAGGTTGTATTTATTTACAATATGATGATTGATGTTTTACTTGCAATTTGTGTCCAGCTCTATTTGGATGGAAATTAAAATTCAATAAAAAATTCCCAGAAACAGCATGTTAGGGTTTTGAATAAAATAAAACTACTTTGTGTGCTAATATACTTTTAAAACATTTATCAATAAATGTGTTCTATTTAAAACTGATTGTATTAAACAAAGGAAGTACAGTCAAACCCCGCAATAAGGCGCCCCGCCATAATGCAAAATTGCATATAACGCGATCACAATTTGGCCCCCGTTTAAGACCTACAGTAATACAGTATGTACTAGTGGTCCCCAACGCCATGACGCCTGCCGAGACATTGATGTGCCCCCGCCTAGTGCCAGGCAGGGGAGAGAAGCTGCGGCCCCGCGCCTGCCAGGGACAGTGAGCACTGGCGCCGCAGCCCTCAATGCACCGCCTTGGGGACCACTGACTGGCTTGAAACCCTGCTATACTGCGACCCCGCATTTAGCACGATGTAACTTTTTGGACCCCAAACATCGCGGTATAGTGGGGTTTCACTGTAGTATCTGTAGTCTGTGAATTTAACTGATTGTTTCTGGTCACCATGTCATTCAAGATTTTAGAACTAGTAGATCTCATCCTCTCACACATAGTTTTTCTTCATAGATTGGAAGAGAAAAACAAGCTTTCCTGCCTGTTCAACTCCCAATTGATTTCGTAACTTCAAATGAACTAGTCACTGAACTGATTTAGTTGAATAAAAGGAAATGAAATTAAATATTCTCTCTGCACCTGCAGAAGAGACTACTGCCAACAGTTGAAAGGTGGTTTAGTGCTTCAACAAACTCTGGTTCCAGGTGCCTAGCCAGTGATGTCAAGCAATTCTGTGTGTTCACTTTCTTTAAACTTGGCAGCAAACGTGTCCTGCTTAATATTGGGGGGGGGGTTGTATTTAAATAGTTTAATAGATTACAGCATGGTTAGGCTTTAGCACAGGTTGTTTATTTCATATTTAATTTTAAATAGATTTAGGGTTTTTTAAATATTTAAATTTTGTTTAGCATTGATTTTTTTTTATCCATGCTGGATGTGGCTCCTCTGTGTCCTGCAGGAGGCCATCCTCACCACCATGGACATCGTACACGATGGGTTTGGCTTCATGTTGGCCTTTGGGGACCTGGCCTGGGTGCCCTTCACTTACAGCCTGCAGGCCTACTTCCTGGTCAACCACCCCCAGAAGCTGAGCCTGCCCATGGCTGTCGGGATCCTCTTGCTCAATGGTGAGGCTCAGGTGATTCCCTCCCACAAACCAGACCAATAGGCTCATTCAGTCCCATATCTCTCCTCTTCTCCCCCCCCCCCCCCCCGATCAGACCAATGGATCCACCTAGTCAAGACCAATAGGTGTAGTATCCCTCTCACTTTACCCCATGACCCCATCTATCACAGTATCTCTTACCCCCCCCCTCCACACACACCCTTCCTGCCTCACCAACCCTACAACACACCTTGCTGTACAATGGAGTGAAATCCCTTCCTGCCTAGCCCCAAGCCACACCCTGAAGCGTGAGGATTGAAAGACCTGCTCAATGCCACCCTGAGCCAGCATCCACCACCACTGTCGTTCATCCCTTTGTCCTCTCCAGAGCGATCTGTTTCCATACCAATCCATGGCAGAAGTGCCAGTATCCCCATGCCTAGAGCTCCCACAGCCTGTCCTCACTCTGGTTCTCTTCTTGGCAGGTCTGGGCTACTGCATCTTCCGCAGCGCCAATTCCCAGAAGAACACTTTCCGCAGGAACCCCAACGACCCTAGAGTAACTGGTGAGCTGCAGCCACCTCTTGGATGGGCATTAGATGGGGGACTTGGAGTGAAGGAGTCTGGAGTGGGGGGAGAAGAAGGGGATGCTAATGGGAGGGAGGAAGAGGAATGGATGCCATGTGGGTAATGCTCTTCTCCTCCTCCCAGGTCTCAAAACCATCCCCACAGCCACGGGCCGGCGTCTCCTGGTGTCTGGGTGGTGGGGGTTTGTGCGCCACCCCAACTATCTGGGGGATCTCATCATGGCTCTGGCCTGGTCGCTGCCCTGTGGTGAGTCTAAATCCTGCCTGGGGCAAGGAGGTGTTGGGGGGGGCGGGGGGGGGGGTGTCTCCTTCTCCTGCCCCCAGCATTGGTGTCCCACTGGGACCTGTGCCTTTAGGGGATATCCCTACTGCCCCTCTGCAGTGGAGGCAGGGCAGCATCTCTCTAGCCCTCAGGGCAGTGGTGTCTGCCTTGGGCACCCATTGTGTCTTTCACAAGCTACACAGAGGGTGCCCGCTCTGGCCCAACATCCCAGTCATGGCCCAAGCAGATGGCACCAATATGCTGCCCCCTACTCCAGCCAGAGGTCACGTAGAAGGCACCTGGTCTGGTTGGCCTGAAGTCCCAGGTGGAAGGCACTGGTCGCACCTTCAAAGGATGGCATCAGTGTATCATTAACGTGGGAGTGGGGAGGAATCTAGGCCCTAGACAAGTTTGCTCAGCACTCAGGCTATCCATTAGAACAATGGTTCTCAACCTGTTTACCATTGTGGGCCACATATGCAGCTCTCTGTGTTTTTATGTGGGCTGCATCTACGCAATATATATACTGCCTGTAAGGCCCTGAGGATGTCACATGGGCCACAGCTATGTGCTGATTAGGACACAAGCAGCCCCTGGGTTGAGAACCATTGCACTGGAAGGGCCCATGGCCTCCTCTCCTCATGCCCCATGTCTCTCCCACCCCTTCAGGCCTGACACACGTCCTGCCCTACTTCTACGTCTTCTACTTCACTGTGCTGCTGATTCACCGGGAGGCTCGGGATGAGCACCAGTGCCTGCGGAAATACGGGCTCGCCTGGCAGGAGTACTGCCGGCGAGTTCCCTACAGGATCTTCCCTTACCTTTACTGAGATGTGGCCCAGCACACCATGCCCCATGCAGACCCAGGCACGACAGCTCACATCTGCCCACCACTGCTCCAAAGGCTGGCAGGACGCTAGCCTGTCCTCACCACTGGGGCAGGTTGTCATCCCCAGAGGACTCCAGATGGAGGTGCGGGCTCTGGGGTGGGGCTGGGGATGAGGGGTTTGGAGTGTAGGAGGGTGTTCCAGGCTGGGACCGAGAGATTTGGAGTGTGGGAGGGGACTCCAGGCTGGGGCAGGGAATTGGGACACGGGGTGAGGGCTCCGGCTGAGGGTGCAGGTTCTGGGGTGGAGCTGGGGATGAGGGGTTTGGGGTGCAGAATGTTGGGAATCATTAAGAAAGGGATAGATAATACAGGAAATATCATATTGCCTCTATATAAATCCATGGTACATCCACCTCTTGAATACTGTGTGCAGATGTGGTCACCTCATCTCAAAAAAGATAGATAGGAATTGGAAAAGGTTCAGAAAAGGCAACAAAAATGATTAAGGGTATGGAACAGCTACCATGTGAGGAGAGATTAATAAAACTGGGACTTTTCAGCTTGGAAAAGAGACAACTAAGGGGGATATGATAGAGGTCTATAAAATCATGACTTGTGTGGAGAAAGTGAATAAGGAAGTGTTGTTTATTCCTTCTCATAACACAAGAACTAGGGGTCACCAAATGAAATTAATAGGCAGCAGGTTTAAAACAAACAAAAGGAAGTATTTTTTCACACAACGCACAGTCAACCTGTGGAACTCTTTGCCAGAGGATGTTGTGAAAGGTAACACTGTAACAGGGTTCAAAAAAGAACTAGATAAGTTCCTGGAGGCTAGGTCCATCAATGGCTATTAGCCAGGATGGGCAGGGATGGTGTCCCTAGCCTCTCTTTGCCAGAAGCTGGGAATGGGCAACAGGGGATTGATCATTTGATGATTACCAGTTCTGTTTATTCCCTCTGGGGCACTTGGCATTGGCCACTGTTGGAAGACAGAATACTGGGCTAGATGGACCTCTGGTCTGACCCAGTATGGCCATTCTTATGTATAACAAAACCCACAATGTTTTCATAACAGCACTAGATGTCTGAGCTGCATTCCTCTGTGCTTCACTCGAGCTTAAAGCATTGCCTTCCATGAGGGACCACGATGGAGCTTACTGCATGATTGGTAATGCTTTAATGAAAGAGTCTAACAATATCGCAACCACTACAGTTGGCTGCAAGCTCATTGCAGGCTTCACCCTGGACATCTGAGAATGGAGCGTGCCTGAATTCTCCTCTGCTGCTGTAAGGAGGTGCAAGCCCACAGCAGAAAGGTCAGCCCGACAGATGCATGGGTCATGATGAGATGGAGGGTTTGTCTTCACTGCAACAGTTAGCTCAAATGAGTACACTGGAGTTACTCTCACTTGAACTCGGCTAGAATATGTCTACACTGCAATCGGACGTGTGAGTGCAGCCTAGACTGGCATAGCCACATTAGCTTTACTCTAGCTCAGGGGTCGGCAACCTACGGCACACGTGCCAAACACGGCACGCGAGCCGATTCTGAATGGCATGCTGCCTGCCCGGTGAGAGGAGGAGGAGGGGCTGGAAAGTGCCACGCTGGGGGAAGAAGCAGGGGAGGGGGGAAGCTTGGTCCTGCAGCAGCCAAGTTTCCCTCCTCTCCCAATTCTTCCCACAGCTTGGTGCATTCTGGCCCCTCTGCCGCTCCTCCTCCCTCTCCCTGCCTGCGATGGCCCTTGCGAGGGGGAGAGGGAAGAGCAGCAGCCTGCACACAGCTCCATAGAGCAGGCAGAGAGAGGTAGGGATGGGCCTGGGGGAAGGGAGTGGAACAGGGCATATCCTTCCCAGCCCCCTGCCATGAGCCGCTCAGGGCAGGGGGCTGGGAGCACCCCCACGAGCCGAGCACCCCAGCCCTCTGCCCTGACCACCCCCCAACACCCAGCCTTCTGCCCTGCACCTCCACACACCCCAGCCCTCTGCCCTGACCTCGAGTCGCCCTGCTCAGCCCACTGCAGGCCTAGGTGAACAGAACCCCAGGCTGGAAGCGGGCTGAGCAGGCTGGCAGCCTAAGATCAGCATTTTAATTTTAAATGAAGCTTCTTAAACATTTTGAAAACCTTGTTTACTTTACATACAACAGTAGTTTAGTTTATATAATATAGACTTATAGAGAGAGAGCTTCTATAAAACGTTAACATGAATTACTGGCATGCAAAACCTTAAATTAAAGAGAATAAATGAAGACTCGGCACAACACTTCTGAAAGGTTGCCTACCCCTGCTCTAGCTAGCATGGCTACAAATAGTAGTGTGGATGCACAGGCTTGTACAGCATGTGCTGCTGCATCTTCACTATTTTTAGCCATGCTAGCTAGAGTAAAGCTAGTGCAGGTACGTACCCCCCAAGCTGCAGTCATGCCTCGGAAAGCAGTGTAGACATACGCTGAGAGCAGCGTGAGAGCAACTGCACCGTGAAACAATACTGGAGCTGTACAGAATGATTGGATTAGCAGTTGATGTGCTGCTGTAACTCAAGCTGCTGCATTACTAGCTTGAGTGGCAGCAGCCCTCCAGCTTCAACCTCCATCCCCTTGCAAACCAGCTAGCTTGATTTTAAAGCACTACTTAACTCATGTTAGAGATTTCTGTGTGGACAAGAGTCAGGTTAGGAGCAAAACTTGAGTTAAACCTTGAGCGAACATCAAAAAGAAGACAAGCCCCAAGGAGAGAGAGTCACAGCTGGGAGTCTGTTTTGGCTTGAAGTGGAATACAAGTTTGGTTTGCTGTGTTTGTAAGGGACTGATTAATTTTAAGGACTGGGAGAATTCCCCTTTTGGGGAATGCTGGAGTGTGGTTTTGGACAATGCACTGATGTGACAATGATTTTTATTAAAAATATATTAAATGCAGTCCCCATCTGCGTTCAAAGTCAATTGTTTGCGATGCTTTTGAGGGCTAGAGGAGCAAAGTGTCAGATCTGAAATACAGGAAACAATCAACCAAATAGGCAATACTCCTTTTAGGGGGAGTCTGCTCCAGAACCTCCCTCCCCTGATGAGTAGAAACCTTCTTCTCATTTCCAGCTTCAGTTGATTCCTGGACATCTTATCCCTATTTGTTCTTGTGCCAACATTGTCCTTTAGCTTCAATAGCTCTTCTCCCTCCCAGGATTTACCCCTTTTGTGTAGTTATAGAGAGTGATTAAATCCCCTCACGTTTTAAGGGCCAGGCTAAACCACCCCAGCTCTTTCAGTCTCCTTTCCTAAGGCTGCCTTGCCACTCCACTCATCAGCCTAGGAGCTCTTTTCTGCACCTGGGGCTGTTAGGGCTTTTCAGTCTAGCAGAGGAAGGCATAGCAAGATCCAATGGCTGGAAGTTGAAGTTAGACAAATGTAATCTTGAAATAAATCAATTTCCTAGCAGGGAGGGTGAGTAAACACTGGAACAGCTCACCAGGGGAGTGTGGTCTGGCCACCACCTGGAGTCTTTAAAGCAAAACTAGATCTCTTTCCAAAACACATGTTTTAATCCAGTTTCTGGGGAAAATGCTATAGCCTGTCTGTGGGGGGTGGGGAAAAATCAGACTGGATGATTACAATGGTCCCTTCAGGTCTTAGGTCCATGACAGTCCCACAGGGCTCAATTGTGTACCAACATAAAAGGGCACATCTATACTGTAGTTTCAGCTGCACAAAGTGCTTGTGGGGTATGGGACATTCAGAAAGGCCGCAGGCTCTGAAGCCAGGGAAGGGCCAGCAGCAGTCAGGAAAACTCTGCAGACTGATACAGAACAGTATCTGCATGGAACACGTTATTCTGATTCCCTGAGGGCCCATAGCCAAGGATTAGGTGTTTATGGCCATGTGGCTTAGAGGCTAGAGCACTGGGACTCAGCAGATTGGGGTTCTATTCCCAGCTCTGCCGCTGGCCTGCTGGATGACCTTCAGTGACTCATTTCCCTCCTTGTGCCTCTGTGTATCTTAAGGTACATCTACACTGTGATAAAAAAAAAAAAACATGTCACAGTGTCTTAGGTCAGCTGACTGATTCATGGGGCTTATGCTGCGGGGCAATAAAGCTACATGTAGACTCTTGGGCTGGAGCCCGGGCACTGAGATCCTAGTGAGTGGGGAGGGTCTCCGAGCACAGGCTCCAGCCCTAGCCTGAACATCTGCCCTGCAATTTTATAGCTCCACCGCCCCACCCCAAGTCAGGTGACCTGGGCCAGCTGCAGCTGTGCCACAGATCTTTTATAACAGCATAGATGTAGTGGTATCCAAGGACCTTACAACCTTTAGTGTATTTATCCTCATAACATCACTATGTGGTAGGGCAGTGCTATTATCCCTATTTTACTTATGAGGAAACTGAGGCACAGAAAGGCTAAGTGACTTGCCCAAGGTCACATAGGAAGTCTATGTCAGAGCAGGGAGTTGAACCCAGGTTCCCTGAGTCACAGGCTAGTGCCCAAACCAAATGGAGTTCTCAGCTCACAGGACCACACTCCACCCAGGATAGGTTAATGCTAGTTTGAGGCTTACACCCTAACCCTTCTTTGGCTGGGCAAAGGAATTTGAGGTAGGAGGTGGGTTGCGGTCAATTGGATACCAGTATAAGAGCTAGGTATTCTTTTAAATTCATACAGATTCTATTGGATTCAGCCCCAGACCTTCCATGACTTCTCCCTTCCCCACCAATTCTCCCTCACTCAACCAACCCACCGCAAATAAAATGCCCCATTTTTCTCAATCCATAGCTGGCTCTCAGCCCCAAGCAAAAGAACAGACGGGCTGTGCTGCATGCCCAGAAGGGCTACAAGTTCAAGCTCTCTCACACGGAAACCTTAGGGTATCATTCTATGAAGCCTGACACTCATCACTGGCCCCATAGGACAGAGTGTAAGACTAGGGTGTTAGAACTCTAACTAATCACACCAAGCCAATGGGATTTAGGGACATCAGTAGCTTTCCAAAAATATTTAGGGGACAACACCCCTCTCCTTGAGAGACACAAGATTCACTGGTGACACCCTAAGACGGTTTGGAAATGGGCCTATTTTCCAACAATCCTGCAAACCCTTAATCAAAATCCCTGTGCTTTGCATTCTGTGCACTGATAAAACAAAACACACCTTTTGTAGACAACACAGTGTTAGACTGTGGAAGTCATTGCCACAGAAAGTCATTGAGGTGAAGAATACAGCAAGATTCAAAAAGGAATAAACTATTTATATGGATATCAAGAATATCCAGTTGACATAATTCAAGACAACATTATGGAAGGAATATTAAACCTTGCTATTCAGGTCTTAATGCCAATCTAACTCCTACAGAGCTGCAGGAGCAGATTACACTACATCTGCCTACCGTGGGGTTCTTACACCTTCCTCTGAAGCATTTGGGGCAGGCCACAGTCACAGATAGGATACTGAACTAGATGGACCATGGGTCTCATCCAGGCCAGCTATTCTTATATTCCTACCACAGTGATCAGTTAGAATAGTTTAGAGAGCTAAATAAACATTAACTAGATAAGACTATGTACATTAAAATATCAGATTTTAAAAATACCTGATACTCATTCACTCTCTCTCCTGCCACTGTCTCTCACTCTCTCCTGAGCTGTGAATGGGTCTGGCCTCTCTCTCTCTCTCTCAACAGGAGCTGTCTTTTTAGTTATTTCCAGCTGAAGCTCCAGTCTAATGATGGAGATTGGGACTTTTGGGGGAATACAGCTCCCATATTAATGCACAGGAAAGCAAAGACTTTTCACGTTCTGTTACTGCTGTTAATTTGACAGTGGTTTATAACAGCTGTAAGGATGCAGAGTATGTTTGTCCTTAAAATGCTCGTTTTCTAGTTGACAGCAACTCTAGCTATGAGGGTGTCTAGCTGTCCTTTTATTGATGATTTCTGCAAAAATCTGTATGAGGTGGGATACAAAACACAGAGTCCCATGCTGTGACCAGCTAGCAGTTTCTGCAGCACCAGTGGAAAACACACCAACTTTGAAACCACCAAAGTAACAGCAAATGCTTTAAGTGAATGGGACACACCAAGGGTCCCGCTGAATGGAAGACAGGAATGTACACAGCCAGCTGCTTTGCTCTTTTTATTGCAACAGGTCAACTCCCTAGAAACCAAATCAACATTTGTGCCAAGACTCAGTGTAGTGGATTTATCCAAAACAGCTATTGACCAAGAGAGGGTTCATTCACTTTTCCCCACTTAAAAAAAATAATCCAGTCTCTAAATGGGTCCAATTCCACTAAAATCCCCCAATATTTTAAGTGTGGATGGTTTTAGGGGTGACTAAGTTCCAGCCATCAGTCCAACTCCTCAATCAATGGCTTTTTTGCAGGGGGCAGTTTCCCACCCCACATCTTCTGCAGTTCTTTGGTAACTACATCCACCTCTTTGACTGCCTCCAAATGGGTTTTATATTCCCTTTGTACCTCTAGGGCCAGGCCAGTCAAAGATTCCTGGTTCTCATTGACCCAGGAGAGCAGAAATTCACACTTCTTCTTGGCACCATACACCCTGGGCCGCTCCTCTGTTGGCACCAGTTTCTTGGCCTTGCCCAGCAGCCTGGCAAGATGGGAGAGGGCTGCCAAGCTGTAGCCTTTCTGTTTGGTTTGATTCTCCCCCATCAGGATCTGGGCCACTGCCATCATAGCACCTGCATTCCCCAGGGGGCACTCGGGGTACCGGCTGGCTGTCACTGCCTGGAGAGCAGCCTGCAGCGCCTCTGCTGTGGAGCGGAAGACCTGCCTGGCACCCAATGCCCCGCAGACATCCAGGACCACGTCAGAGAACTCAGGCAGCAGCTCATCTTCACTCAAGTCCCCATTGTAGAGGGTGAGGGCGAAGACGTAGGCATAGAGGACATTAGGCAGCTGGAAGCACACCAGGGGTGAGGCTGGGCTGCAGGTCAGGGAGCTCAGTGGTGGAATGGATGCAGGCACAGCAGGCACTGGGCTTGGCATTTCTTCAGGCTGCTGGGTGGGTGCCATGCCTGAGCTCTCCTCTGGCTGCCGGATGCCCGTGGGGGGGTAAGCACCTTGGGGTACCGGTGGCTGGTGGATAGGTGCTGAGTCTGGGATCTTCTGCTCTGGCTTCTGGGTGCCTGCAGGGGGCTGGGTATCCCCAGCTTCCTGGGCACCCTCAGTACCCCCCAGCTCCTGGACCAGCCCCCGGCCCCATCCCCGCCACCAGGGCCTCCAGGGGGGCAGGAAGGTTCCAATCTCCCCGCTGCTCAGCAGGCGCTGAAAGGCGGCCTTTTCGGCCGGACTGAGCCGCTCCCACAGACCGTCGTCCTGGTCCTCCAGGTCGCGGCCTAGCTGGGGCTCCGCGTCCTCGAGCTCGCGTAGCTCCCGCAGCCGGAGTAGCGCCTCTTTCAGGCGGGTTCGGGAGGCCGGGTCCCCCCGCTGGCCCTGGAGCCGGAGCAGCAGCTGCCGGCGGTGGAAAGCCTCGGCGCAGGCCCCGTGGCCCCGGTAACAGGGCACCGAACAGAAACGCATGTTACAGCGGGGGCACGTGTAGGGGGCCCGCTCCTGCAGGCACAGGCCGCAGGGCTCGGCTGCCTCCATCTTGGCAGCGCTCGGGTCTTTCCGCCACCACTCGGGCATTTCCGCCTTCTGCCGCAGCCGCTGTTTGGTTCGGCTATTTCCGCCTTCGCGCCGGAAGCGCTCGTACAACTTCGGGTAACTCCGCCCTAGATTCGGAAACTCTCGGGCGTTTCGCCTCTTCAGCTTCGGAACTCCAAACCCTTTCGGCTATTTCCGGCGACCACTGCATAAGGGTCGCGCTGTTCGAGGGTATGAGAAGTCTGCGGCATCGTGGCCGCCCCTACCCTTACAAAGCTGGCACCCATATCTGAATAATCCCTGCATTGATCACCCCCTCCCAGTCTGTCACTACCCATCTGTTAAAAAATGAGCCTGCTCCATTCCCAAGGCAGCTGCACCAAAATTGCTTTGGGTTCTTGCAGAATGGAGCCCCAGGAGAGTCTGTACATTTCCTCTTAAAAAGCATCTTGCTTCTTCCTAGAATTACAGATCCAGCACTACACCCTCAAAGGTGCAGTAATAACAAAGCAGCAGCACAGTCCCACCACACACACTGAGTCATCACTGTAAAGCCAGGTGGAAAGAACACTTGGGCCTTCCATCCAAGGATCTCCCAGCACTTCTCAAATATTGACACATTAAGCCATAACTGCCTTAGAAGTATCATCACCACATTACAGACAGAGAAACTGGTGCAGAGACAGACAGATTTCAGCTATATGAAGTGAGCAGCACTAAAGCCCCGCTCACGTCTTCCACTCTAATCTAAATCATGAAGTAGGGAACAGGACTGAGTTACCCAGGTTCTCAATGCAGCTCGGAGTACTAGATCAATCTTTTTGTTCTTTATCGGGGGTAGCCGTGTTAGTCTGTATCTACAAAAACAACAAGGAGTCGGGTGGCACCTTAAAGACTAACATTTATTTGGGCATAAGCTTTCGTGGCTAAAAACCTCACTTCTTCAGATGCATAGAGTGAAAGTTACAGATGCAGGCATTATATACTGACACATGGAGGTTTTTACCCACGAAAGCTTATGCCCAAATAAATCTGTTAGTCTTTAAAGGTGCCACCAGACTCCTTGTTCTTTTTGTTCTGTTTCTACTAATCTGTTTAAGCAGAGGATAAACAGTTGCCTGCTCATTGTAGCAACAGCTTCCAGAAGGGTTTTCCACCCCTAGATTTTGGGCACCAAAATGAGAAGCTCTGGGGAGACTTCTAGTGGGAGAAAGAATCTACACTGTTGTAAAGAGAGAGTTCAGAATTCAGCCCACAGAGCAGACAAAACTAGCACTCAATTCCCCTTCCTGCTTGCAGTGTCAGTAATGCAGGTTGCCTACAGGACATGGAATGCACTGAGGCTTCAGTGAACACGCAGTGGTATGTAAACTCTCAGAAGACAGCAGGTAGGGCAACCCCAGTTGTCTGGGACCTAGCTCCTCCCCAACCTCTCTTTCTCAGCCACTCACAGCTGGTTCCCTCCCTTGAAGTGCCCCAGAGGAATCTGAAGCACAGGCAGGCAGGAGTGGTTGAGACTCAAGGGCATCTTGAACAGAGCCAGCTCACATGCAAGGGGAGGGAGGCGAGAATGCCCCCCCCCCCCCCCGCCCCCTGGGTTTCAGGACCCTGGGAATGAAAGCAACCACAAGACAGCACGCTCAGGTGACATCTGCTTTATTGGGTGAAGTGTGCCATTTAGGAGTTAGCATTGGGGCCCTTCTTCTTGCCAAAGCCCGGCACGATATTGACAAAGCGCCGGTTGTACTGCATGCGTCTCTTGGCACGGCCAGTCTTCTTCTTCTTCTTCTCTTGCTTGGCAACCTTTGAGGAAGAGAGCACAGTTAGCTTAGCAACATGCCAAGAGGGGGCGGGACTCCTGGCTCCTAGTCCCCCTGTGTGAACCACTAGGCTGCAGTGGTCACAGTGTTTACTGATATCAAATTGCAACAAACCCTCAAAGTCTGCAGCAGGTGAAACAAACAGCCCTGCCCCCACTCCCCCTGGTTACATCAATGCATCAAAAGAATCACTTACCTTGGGAGTCTGGCCTCTCACCTTCCCAGCACGAGCCAGGGAGCCATGGACCTTACCTGGGGAGAGAAATCAGGAGAGCTGTACTCAAGTGCCACAAGACACTGGGTAATATGTACAGTGTGGCTGGGACACTGGTGTGGTTGCCCTGGTGGCCAGATTCATTCCAACTTTGTCACTCTAGGTCCTGCATTTTCTTCACTAGACCTTTAAGTTAACCCACATGTCACCAGCATCCTAGTAACTGGCTCCTGAACCTCCTTTGTAAAAGAGACATGGTGACTGGGGGCCTCTAAGGATATGTCTACAATAAAAAGAAGACGACGACGACTAGCACCCTGGCTGGCCCAGATCAGCTGACTCAGTTTCACAGGGCTACAGAACTGCTGCGTAGACTTTCAGGCTCAGGCTGGAGCTTGGGCTCTGAGACCGTGTGAACAGGGAGTCTCAGAGCCCAGGCTCCAGCTGGAACATCTACATTGCTATTTTTAGCCCCACAGTCTGAGTCAGCTGATCAATGCTCTGAGACTCTGTGCTATGGGTATTGTTGTTTTGGTTTTTTTTGTTTTTTTTTAAATCACAGTGTAGATGTATCTCGAAGGACTGACAAGGTTCCCACAACCAATCCAACCCCAATGGGCTTCAGTCCTGGACTGGAGTTCAGTATGTTCTATTCACTCTGGCGCCTCCGACTGAATATGAGGGGCCTCCGAGTGCTGTCTGATGTGGATCCCTGTACAGTGGGCTGAGACCCAGCAAGCTTGTTTTACACAGGCATCCTCCAGGTCCTCTGGCTTCTCATGCACCAATCAGAGCCCCAATGGCTGCAGTGGTCTTAGTCTAGCATGACCCTGCTGTAGCTGGCCATCGGCTCTTGAAACCCAGCTAAAGAGCTCAGTGGGATGAACTCTTTTGCATGCCTCTTCCACCTGTCCAGGAGCTTTATCTGGGATTTAAGTCCAGTACACCTCTCCCAGAACCTTTTAATACTTACCACCCAGCATGCGAGCAGCCACCTCCAGGGTGGTAAACTCGCTGATGCCACATTGCCCAATGAGAGATTCATCCTCCAAGGGAGTTCCACCCAAGAGAACAACCTGATCCTCAGGTGCGATGCCCTCCAGGGACTCAATGTGAGCCTGATAGGAGACAGAAGGTACAGAGAGGTACAGTCAGCTAGTGAGGCCAAGAGAGCAAAGCTAATCAAGCACCTTCCTCAAGTCAGCAGGCATCACTGTAATCCCCCCCATAACATGAGGTAGAGGTGGGCTATCCAAGGGGACACAGTATCCAAGATCAAAGAGTGTTTCTTTCTGGGCAGCACAATGCTAATAAGGTTGAGTGATTGGAAGGAGCTCAGATCCCACTGCCACAGATCAGGAACGAGGAGGACTGATTCATGAGGAGAGTTAGAGCTGTCCAAGCTGGCTTTGCAGGGAAAGAGATGATGCATTCCAACAGTCTCTGGGGATATGAATGGGGTAAATGCCATGGAGGGAAAGGAATCCATGCACTAGGGCACAGACAGGAGCTATAGAAAAGCCTGACCAAATTGTTTAGAGTGGCACTGGGGAGAGATACCACTGAGTTATGGGGTGAAACGAACAGCCTTTCATTCAAACTGAAAGGCCCAATGCAATTACCCCGATTACAATTTGGTGTCACAGAAAGTGCCAGGGAGATTTTAGTGACAAGCAATCGGGAATGTTTAATATTTCTTCCGAAGAGCAGACACAAGGGAGTACTGGTTGAGGCCAGCATTGTAAGAGGGGAGAGCAACCCCTCCTGAGCTCAATCCCCCCCCCCCGCAGCACAGCCTTTCCAATACCATGATGGGACACTGGAATCAGCACAGAATGCCCCTTACTGACTCAACTCCAGAGCACCTTGGCTTCCTGTGAAGGTCTTCCATCCAAGTTCCGGACTAGGAAGCACATGCTCAACTTATAATGTCAAGATCAAAGCCTGATGTGGTCCAACTTTGGGCAGCCATGTCCCTATGATTCTCTCAACACAGATCACACAGAGGAAAGGGACCTGCAGTGCCCAATACCTTCTTTGCCAATATTTATGATCAGAAATCAGCAGCAATTCTACCCCTGCCCTTCCCCTCGGGCATGAGCAATCAGATGAAGGAAGCATTGAAAAGCCTTACAGAATTGTTTAGGGTGGCATAGGGGGGCAGAGAGAGAGAGTGTGTGTGTATGTGGATAGCGAATCCTTACCTTAATGTGAGCTACTGTTTCCTGGCCAGACACCTCAAGGGTGTGCAGGTTCTGAGCACGGATGAACAGCTGCATGGTTCCAGCTATGCTGAATGGACAGAACAACAAGTGTTAAGGCAATTTACCTGAGACCAGGGCATTCCCACAGCAGGCTAAAGACATTAGGCCTCGCATTCTGTGGCTACATTGCACTAGACTGGCTGAGAGAGACAAGCAGCTACCCAGTAACCTACTGGGAGCTCTACAGATAAAACCCAAACAGGAAACAAGCAGACATGAGCCAGTGAAACACCTACAAATAGAACCCAGGAGTCCTGACTACCAGCACCCCTGCTGTAATCCACTCCCCCCCCCACCCCCACTTCCAGAGCCAGTGACAAACCCTGAAAGAGAGCCCAGAAGTTCTGTCACTGGCTTAAACAGAAGAGCAAGTAAAGGAACTCAGAAGATCTGGCTCCCAGCCCCCTTCTCTAGCTGTGAATCCCATATCAAAACATGAGTTAAGTGACTTAGCCTGCAGCAATAAATCATTACCTACACAATGCAATCAGGATACCCAAACCCTGGCAAAGGCAGGTATCTCCAAAGGCCCTGGAATTCTGCTATGACTGCCTCTGATCAAGCACAATCTAGCCAAAGTCAGTCTCTGCACCTTCCCAACAATGGCAGAGGTTTCAGGTAGCAGATCTGCTAGGGCATAAACAAGGAAACTTTACTGATGTTCCTCCCCAGATAGACTTTGCTGCAACCCCAGAAACAGACAGTACTGGTAAAAAGTCAATGCCACCTGCTGGGCCTGGATTAGTCTGAAGGGTTGTG